GGGGGGTCGCTGGTTGGGGAGCTATGGGCCCTGGCTCAGGCACTGGCCCTCGTTCCCGGGAAGGGTGCTCTCTGCGAGACACGTTTGCGGGGAGGGGGCGCGGCTGCGCCGAAGCGGCCTTTCACATCGCCCGGCCCCCTCCCCCCCCCCCCCGGCTCCTTGGCGATGATTCATGACCATTCTGGGGGTGGAGATCGTGGCCGCTTCCCGGCCCCTCGTCGCCGGTCCCGAGCGATGCGTGTTTTGTGCGCTAGGCGCGGGCCCTCGCGTCGTGGGCCGTGGTGGGCCGTGGTAGTGCCCTGTTGCTGCTATCCTCCCCTGGCACCTCGCCCTGGCAGACGGGGAAACACTCTGCGAAAAGGCGCACATGTGTGTGCGTGCGTGCGTGCGTGCGTGCGTGCGTGCGTGTGTGCGTACGGGGGGGGGGGGGGGAGATGGAGTGGCTGTCCCGACACACCCGGTCTCCCCCCCCCCCCCCGGGCGCGCGCCAGAGGGCGGGGTGCGCCCCGGCGGCGGTGGCAGTAGGGGGTCGGCCCGGGGAAAAGGGCGGGGGCTCCTCAAGTGCTCCGCGCCCAGCCCGAACCCCGTACTGTCCGTGCAGCTGTGCGGCCAAACATGCCTGTGCACCAGTCCTCCGGTCGGCTCCGACCCTGTTCACGGTGTGGGCGCGCGCGCGCGCGTGCGCGCCGGACGCGCACTAGAGTGCCGAAGCCGGGGGCGGGATATGCTGACTAACGCCGGCCGCCGGGGCTGCGGGATTCTCACACCCGGCGCCCCAACCTGAGGTGTGGGAATCTTGGCAACGTGGTGGGGGAGAGCGAGGACGCCGGCGCCTCGCCGCCCCTGCCCAGATCCAGGCGCCCATCCCCCCCCCCCGCCCCCCCTCCTGCGGGGGCCATCACGACCATCCCCTATCACTCGGGGGTTGATCGGAATAATGGGCCCGGGCTGCCCAGGGTCCCGGGGGCCTGGGGCAGCAGACATGCCGGCACATTTCACCCGGACCCGGGAGGCGGTCGGCTGGGTGCCCGCACGCGGTCACGGCCGTCCGGGCCTCGGAGGGGGAGCCGGGGCGGGGGGGGGGGGCGTGCCCTTGCGCAGATGAGCCGCCCTACGCACCAGGCCGGGGCTCCAGTGGGGTGTAGAGGCTCTCTTTCTCGCCGTCCCTCTCGGTCTTTCCCTCCGTGTGACGGGGGGACCCGGATGGGGGGCGGGGGGGGGGGAGGGGCGGCGGGTGCCAGCGCGGCGGAGGGCGGTCGAATGGGACCGGGAGGTCGACGCGCCCGGTTGGTGGACCATGCCGGGCCCCCGCGCGGCTTGGCCCATTTAAGGGCAGCTCATTCGTGTGGAGATCGGTACCGGCCCCCTCCACACGAGTTCCCTCCTCCCCCTTTCTCTTTTTATGTAAGCACCCCCCTCCTTTCCGCGCTCCGCCCCTTCCTGTGCCCGCTTTCTCCCGATCCCTCCCCCCGCCCTGTCTGCCTGCCTGCCTGCTTCTCCCCCTCTCTCACACCCCCGCTATCGCCCCCCCCCCCTCCCGCCTCCCCGATCCGTCCGCAGAGTCCCCCCCCCCCATACCCCCACTCCCACACCACCATGCGTGAAGTCCATGAGTCCGAGAACGACGGCATGATGACCGAGGCCCTGGTGGCCGGTGCCAAGGGCGGTGCCCTGTGGCTCGGTGCCACCATCGGTGGTCTGATGCTCGGTGACAAGTACTCGCCGCTCATCCGCAACCGGCTGAACTACGCCGGCCGCGCGTTCGTCCTCTCCTCGATGGCCATCTCCGGGTGCTACATCTGGGCCGAGGATGCCGTCCTCCGGTACGGTCGCCAGCGCGACATGGAGCGCGTCCTGGCCTCGCGCTACTCGCAGGCCGGCCAGGCGGTCCCCGAGTATGAGGCCCTCAAGCAGGAGGCCACCGCCGAGATCCAGGCCCAGGACACCGCCTTCCGCCGTCACCGCGAGGGCATCACCCTCGATGAGCAGGGCAACGAGGTGCACCTGACCCCCCTGCAGTGGGCCGTCAAGCACCGCATGGCCATCGGCCTCGGTACCTGGGGCGCCATCATGGCCGGGTCCCTGCTCAAGTCCTTCAGCCAGAAGGGGCCGCTCTCCTTCAAGCTCATTCACAGCCGTATCTACGCCCAGGTGGGTGTCATCGGGTTGGTGGTCGTCATGTCCCTGGCCGCGGCCATCCCGGACGCCCAGCCGCCCCAGCGCCCGCGCCCCTCCTACCTGGAGTAAGGGGTCCTGGGGCCTGCTTATGTGGCCCCTCCCCCCCCCCCCCTCCCCCTTCCTCCCCACACCCCCACCAGATCTTGGGTTCGAAGCGGCGGCTGGCTGTTGCTTTCCCTTCCCATCCCATCACCCTCCCCCCCCCCTCTCCTGAAATAAATCTGCAACCCTTTACACTTTCTGCAAACTGGAGCTCCCCACCCCCCTCTTCCCCGCCTCCGAGCCGCCCCTCCCGAGGCGAGGGACCACCATCACGACCAGGGTGTACCAAGATGACCAAGCCCAAAGAGACTGACCCATCGCCGCAAGCGCAGCCCATGAGCAGACGTATCTCGGCCTTCTCTCTCCCTCTCTCTCCCTCTTCCTCTCCCTCTCTCTCCCTCTCCCTCTCTCTCTCTCCCTCTCTCTCTCCCTCTCTCTCTCTCCCCCTGTCGCGCCCCTTTGCCGTTACCGGCGCCAGCTCTCGGGTGTCAGCAGGTGTGAGGTCTATTGCTACCGGCCCTGGCGTGGGCAACGCACGCGGCCGTTCACATCGATGGTCCATTCATTGGACAAGCCGAACCCGGTGGCCGGGAGGTCTGCGTCGGCGGCGGCCGCCCGAGCGGCATCCAGCCCGGCCACCCGGGCCAGCGCATCTGCCGGCCCGCCAGCTGGACCTCCATCATCACCGGGAGAGGACCACCTCTCGGTGGAAGACTCCTCCGCCATGATGTCCCCTCGGGCCCGGCCAACGGCCAGCCACAAGGGCGCATAGGGCCGGCGAATGTCGGACACCAGGCCATACCGCTTCAAGTCCCCACGGCGCACGGCCCCGCCAATGTCGGTCCCCACCAGGTTGATGGAATACTTGATGTTGATGGGCTCACGCATGCGCAAGTCCTGGAGCATGTGCGCCAGGCGCTGCTCCTGCATCTGGAGATCCGCCGGCAGCATGGGCCTCGCCGACCCGGGGGCCAAATGCACACAGTCCCGCCGTGCATCGGCCTGCCGGTCCAGCGTCACCCGGATCTGCGACAAGGCCATGCCCATGTTGGGCTCCGCCGTGGCGGCATCCTCGGCGGCATGGTCGCCGAAGAGTGCCGCCGCTTCGGCCCGGATGAATGTCCACAAACTGGCGTCGGTCACCGCGGCGCTGGTGAGGAATTCCCCCGGCGGCGCACTGAGCAGCTCCTCCAGCAGGCGGTCGTCCATCTGCGGCAGCGCTTCGGCATTCATGCGCACCAGGGCCTGTGCTTCCGAGGGCAGAGCACTGAGGGTGCATTCCAGCTGCTGGCTCGGCCCGGCCGATGCCGGGTCCGCCAACAGGGCCCTCTGCCGGGTGCTCAGCTCCGGGCCCGGATGCATCTGTTGGCGGAGTGACCGGACAAGGGTCCGAATGGCTGCCGCCCTCACTGGCTGGTCGTCTGCACGCAGCTGGATCCGCAAGACGGTGGCCACAGCCTGTCCAGCGCCGGGGGGCCAAAGGGAAGGACGAACAGGTGAGGTGCGCCCAGGTGTGTGCATGCATGCATGTGCGCCCCTGCCTGTGCGCGGCGCGTGCGTATGTGCATGGGCTTGTCGCTAAAGCGGCTCATCGCCACGGCCGCCCGGCCGATGCATGCATGCGCGCGCGCGCGCGCGCGTGTGTGTGTGTGTGGGGGGGGGGGGGAACCATGTGTGCGTTGACGCACCTCAAGGACAAAGGCCCGTGTTGTGGCCTTTCCCCCGGACACCAGCAAGATGTCGGTCTCGGGCAGAAGGACAAAGAAGACCGAGTCCGAGGAAAGAACAGACGAGGTGGCTGTCAGCCCATCGATGAGGGCCACGCGGATCCAGAAGGCATCCAGATCCTGATCTGCCTGAATGAAAGTATGCTTTTTGGTTGGCGAGATTCGGATGAGTCATGGGTGTCCAAGGGAGACAGAGAGAGCGAGCGAGAGCGAGAGCGAGAGCGAGAGAGAGAGAGAGAGAGAGAGAGAGAGGGGGGGGGAAGGCGGGAGAGAAGCAGAGAAAATGGGGCAGGGGGGATGTCATGGGTAAAAAGAGGGGGAAACGGCTCGGCGCCGGGCATAAAGACGCACATTCTTGGAAAACTGCGCCACACGGGCCTGGCACGCAGATGCAAGACCGGGGAGGGCCTCGAGAGCCGTCCGGCTGAGGCCACCCGACGCGTCGGCCACACGTGTCGGGTCCGTGTTCCGGTAGCGCAGCGTGGACCAAGTCTTGCCGGCTCCATATTTGGATGCTTCGACGAGGGGGAGGGGGATGGGGCAGTTAGCCGTCCATGCGTGGGAGCAAGGTAGTGGTGGTGGTGGTGATAGGGGGCGGGGAGACAAGGCAAAGAGTGCGAACACCAGGCAGGTACATACCCACGATCTCGGTCTCCGCCACCTCTTGAAACGTGAAGCCGCCCTCCTGGATACCCCAAGCGAGCAGCGGGTCAGCCCGAGTGCCAAAAGAGGGGAAAGGGAAAAAAAGGTCAGAAGAGTCCAGGAACAGGTGTGCTCGGCAAGTGGGGCGCACCTTGTCCTCCAGAATAACGCGAACAATATGCCTTCGCCGGAGAGTCTCGGAGAGGGTCGCCCCGGCGACCCGGCGCCGCCTGTCAGCGACTCCGCCCGAGGCAGGGTCGCCGGGGGCAGCCACCGGCGCGGCGGCCTCGCCCGGAGCCACCAGCTCCCCGGGGAGCGCAACTCCCCAAGACTGCGAGGCCAGGGCTACGAGCTGCTCGGTGGGGCATTTGAGTAGCGACCGCCGCAGAGCCGACTGATTGGTGCTGGCAACCACCGACGGCAGTGGATGGGCACTCTCAACCATGGCAGGCGGCCGGCCAATGGGCGTGTCAAGTGTGCGCTGCCAGAGGGAGAGAGAGGGGGGGGGGAGGGCGGGGGAAGCAGCAAAGGCGCGGAGAGAAGGGCGACAGGGAGCACGGGCGACGGAGAAGGCCACACGATTTTTGCAGGCGGGGCGGGGGGCGGAAGAGGAAGGGAGGGCCCGCTGGGCCGGGGCTGGCCGCCGAAAAACGCACGCCCGCACGCACGGAGCCCCTTGGAGAACCCCCCGCCAGCCGGCCAGCCAGCCAGCCAGCCAGCCAGCCAGCCAGCCAGCCAGCCAGCCAGCCGCCCCTCGCCCGAGATCTCGCCCAGTCGAAAAAACGACCGCCACAGGGGTCCGTGGGCGCCGATCAGAAGATGCCAACGCTTCGATCGCTAGACCCCGGCCGCCGTCCGGCCGGAGGCGCGATCCCGCGTCCCTGCCCCTGGTCGGGCGAGCGGCCTGGGGCGCCGAGGGGGGGGCCCCTGCACGGCGGGGCGCCCGCGCCTCTCCCCGACAAACTCCCTCCCCTTTTCAATGGGCCGGCCGCCGGGCCGGCGGCCCTCCCACCGCGGGATCCCACATCGTCCGCATATACAGGTCCCAGATCTCCCATTTCCTCCACTCCCCCTTCCCTTCTCTCCTCCTCTCTCCGTCCGCTCCTCTTCCGCCTCCCCTGCGTCGCCGGTGCCCAAATGCATGCTGCCCCCGAGGCAAACGCGGCCGGGGTGCCGGCAGCCTGGAACCCTGCGTCCGATCAGACCGATGGCTTCGGCGATGACCCATACTTCCTCGGGCGTTGCATCCCCTGGCTGCCGCGCCTGGACCGCGAGCTGACTGGCGTGCGTCCCTCCCTGTGCCCGGGTCGGGGTCTCTTTCCGCCGCCCGTTGGCGGCACAGTCGCCCTCCCCCTGTCGCTCGCCTCCCTCCTCGCCGCCTGGCCACTGACGTACGCTGACCCGCTCGCCTCCCCCCCCCCCCCCCCCCGGGCACGAAGATTGCCCATGTGGACGGCCGCTATGACCCCTCGGCCGGACGGCACATTGGCCGTGTGGTCCTCTGGCTGCCGGATCACTCCACCCTTCGGACGACCCTCGACCGCGAGGGCGCCCCGCCGTCCTGCCCAGCGGCGCTCCTGCCTGCCGGGGGCACGGACACTGGGGATCTGGCTTCCGACCTGGCGGCCGCTGGTGCTTGGCTGGATCTCCCCTGGTCCGATGAGGAGGACACTGGCAGCAGCGATGGCGCCGATGACGATGACGATGCTGATGGCGACGACAGCGGCGAGACTGGCCCCGGTGCTGAGGCCTGCAAGGGACCTGATATTGTTGGGGGCCTCCTGGGCCTATCCATCAATGCTGATGCCGGCACCGGCACCGGCACCGGGACCGGCACCGGCACCGGCACCGGGGCCCTGCCCTGCCCCCTGGTTCCCTATGACTCGGACAACGGGGCAACCCTCTTCGAGCGCCCGTGTGCCGCGGCCGGCTCGCCCGAGATGGCGCCTCGCGCCTGGACACCGACCGCCACGTTTGAATACTCCACCGGGGGGTATGCCCGGCTGGAGGGGTTTGCCATGGCAGTCCGGCGAAGTGCCCTCCCGGGAGCCCGGCTGGCGCCTCGCTGGCGTGAACAAGCCCCGGAGCCCCTCTTCGGCGGGGAGCCGACCAGGCGGCCATCCCCAAGTGCCGAGGCTCCCGGGCCTTGGTTTGTCCCGCACGGCGAAGTGCGCGTCTTCGACAACACGGGTGCCTGCATTCTCAAGGGACGTGCCTTCTTCGGGGTCTTGGCGCGCATTCGTCTCTGGCATGTGAACATGCCCTCGCGCGCCCCGGATGCCTCCCTTTTGCCCCCGCTCTCGGTGATTGCCCTGCGTCCCGGCGTGGTGGACGATCTCCCATGTGCCGGGCGGTCGACGGTCGAGCAGCTGCCGGAAACCGGCCACGCGGAGCCCCTGCTGGCAGACTTCGTCCTGGCCCCCGGGGTCCGCCGGGCCGAGCTCTCGGTGTCGGCCGAACTGGACCCGGTCACCTGCCCGGCCGTTTTCAAGAGCATTGCCCACTGCCAGGCGGTGCCGGAGGTGCCGGCCTCCGCACAGACCGACGCCTGCCTGGCCCTGCCGGCTGGGTCGACTCTTCCGCCTGTCCGATGTGAATGCCTTCGCATGCCTCTCGATGTGCCCCCGGCCCAGCCGACCCTGCTGATGCTGTTGGCCGATGACGAGTGCGACGACAGCCGAGATTATTGTGTTTGGATCACCAATGTCGGCATTTCCCCCCTCAACGGCATGGTCGAGTCGTGTCCATTGCTCGGATGCAAGGGCGACGCATGTGCCCGTCAAAGTGCCCTGCCAGGCCCGGCGAGCTCCGTCCTTTTCGACAATGGCCGTGAGGTGTTCGGGACCTTTAAGGTGTGTGTGTGTGTCTGTGTGTCTGTGTGTGTGTGTGTCTGTGTGTCTGTGTGTCTGTGTGTCTGTGTGTCTGTGTGTCTGTGTGTGTGTGTGTCTGTGTGTGTGTGTCTGTGTGTCTGTGTCTGTGTGTCTGTCTGTGTGTCTGTGTCTGTGTGTGTGTCTGTGTGTGTGTGTCTGTGTGTGTGTGTCTGTGTGTCTGTGTGTCTGTGTGTGCTCTTTGCGTGCCTAGTTGTCCGGCTTTTTCTCTTGCCACTTGTGACTCCGCTTGAAAGGTCCACTCTCTTGCTTACAACCATGCGTTGGTATGCCGCCCTCCCCCCGCACCCCCCCCCCCCCCTCTCCGCTTCCCTCGCCGGACGCCTCCCTCCCGCCTGGGTAGTGTGGGCGTTTTGGCCAGGCGCCCGCATTCACCGAGCAGGAGCGAGCCCATCTGATCGCTCACCCGCCCCCCGGATTGCGCAAAGCCCTCTCTCAGGTGGACCTGTCTGCCGGCAATGAGCGCATCAACATCGATGAATCCTATGACCCCTCCAACTGCCAGCACTTCAGCCAGGCTCCCCGGAGCCGGGATCTGCTGGGGCTGTGCCGGACTGCCATCGGGCCATCGGGCGTTGGGCCCGACGCCGGAGACGGGCTCTTCGCCCTGTGTGACCTGGAGGAGGATGTGCGTTCTCCTCTTGCCATCATTCCCGGCCAGGCGGGTGTCCCTGCCCGGAGCTCGATGTGTCCACCCGCCCGTCCGCCCGCTCGCCCGATGACTGACGTCCTCCAAAGCGACTGATCTCCTACTACAATGGCATCCGAGTTTCGGCCCACCACGTCGACAGTAGACCCTGGCACGCCAACATCAATGCCATCACCCTTTGCCGGTTCACGGTGCTGGACGTGCCGCCAGGGGACTCCCCCTCTTTCGGGGCCTTCGGCGTGGCGGGCACGCGCCAGGTGGCCCCGGCCATGGCTTACACCGCGACCTTGGCACATAAGGCCAACCATTCCTTCGACCAGGGCCAGGTGAATGCCCGATTCGCGGACACCTGGCATCCACGCTTCGGGCACATCATGTGTCTCATTTCTACGCGGCCCATTCGCGCCGGTATGTGATTTCCGACGGCGCAACCGCTTGCCCTCGCTCGACCGCTGCCCCCCCCCCCCTCGCCCTTGTCTGACTTTGCCCCCTCTGCGCCTTCTCTGCCTTTGGGATCCGTCCCCGCCGCCCGCCGGGCTCCTCTTCGGGTCCCCCTTGTAGGCGAGGAGATTTTCGTGTCCTACGGCTACTACATCCCTCAGAAGGAGGAACCCCGTGACCCGGCCCCAGGCCGAGACACCATCCCGTCCTTCCTGCGGCAAGTTAGCCAAAATCGCAAGTCCGCCCTCACCCGGCTGGACTGGAGCACCGCCGATATTCCGGACTGGTATCGTGATGCGGCGAAGCAGTTCATTTGACCCGCCCTGCAAAGGGCACAGCCGCCTGGGCGGCCGCACGGCCGCCCAAGCCCAGCCGGGCAGGACGAGGAGTCCTCCGGTAACAGCCTGGCGAAGTTGACATGTGCATGTGCCCACACACACATGCTGGCACTCTCGGGTCTATTTTCCTTACTCCCCCATGGCACCAAGCATCCGCTCCTGGCCAGCTGTGTGCCTCCTCCCTGCCTCCCCCCCCCCTCCCTTTTGCCCGTCTCTTGCTCCCTCCACTTCTTGGCGGAAGAGCACTAATAGATTGTCCTCGGGCTCGGTCATGCGGGCCAGGGTGTTTCCAAATGCCCCCTGCCGAAGGGCAGGGTCAACTCCGCGGAGAAGGCCCGCTTTCTAGTCTCTTCGATGGGGGATTAACACCGCAGGGTGTGAAGCCCCTGCTGCCACCCGCCGGCTATTTGCCGAGGGGCGCCACCGCGTTCCGGGGCGTATGTGCTTTTGCCCGGCCCCCCCCGCAGGGAAGCGCAGCTGCCTGTGGCACATGGCTCCGTCCCGCCCGCCCCCGGTCCGGGTAGCCATGGGGACCGGGGGGGTTTCGCTGCCCCTTCGCGGTCCTCATGTTGCCGCCTCTCCCGCCCTTCCGGGATGGGCATGTGTGGGCGAGCGGGCGGACGGCGAAGCGTGTGCCTTCATGCGAAGGGCACACGCCTCGTCGAGCCCCGCAGGGGCAGTCAGGCAAAACTTGGCAAATGGCGATGAGTGCTATTCCCGGGCGCGGTGATGAAAATTTCACGCTGCCCGTGTCGGAGGGTCGAAAACTTGGGGCGGACCCCGCCCATCCCCCCCCCCGCCCCCCGCCCCCCGCCCCCCGCACTCATGCGCCGGGTGGGAAATTTTCCCTGTCCATCATGCAGCCGCACCCCATGGTGGCAGGAAGAGCGCCAGGCCGAGGAAGAGGCGGGGGATCGGCCGCGAAACGCAAGCTCAGCATGGGCCTGGCAAGAGGCCCGGACGTGCCTGTGATGACCACCTCCCCACTGGGGGGAGCGCGAGGGAACTCGATATGAGGGAGCACATTGGGCGCGGCCGGTCGGTCGCACCTGCCAAGGCGCCCGGTCTCGGTGACTGGAGGGGGCGAGGGGTGGGGTGGGGGGGGGGGGGAAACCAGCACGGTGGGGGACTTCCAGATCACCGGGAATATCCCATAGCCCACAGTCGCAAAATAGCCCACGACTGCCCTCGGGTCTGTTGGCAGCTGAGGCCTCGAAAGTGAGATATCCGTGGGGGGGGGGGGGGGGAGTGATACCTGTCCCGGCCCCGGATAGCCGTCAATCGGGTCGGCCTCGCGCCCATGTTCTTGCTTTCTCCGGGGCACTTGGCCTCCTCGCGGCCCGGCGGGCCGATGGTCCCCAGGGCCGCCGCCATCTGTCGTTGCCCAGGCGGCTCCACGATTCGAGGAGGGGACAAGAGGCCGAGGAGCTTCCTGCACATGGCATTTCTTCCTTCCGGTGGTAACTGATCTTCCGCCCCGTTGCCGGCGAGGAGGCGGCTTCACAACGCCCCCACCGCCGGGGCGGCTTCGGGCGGTGCCAGACCCGGGGCCTCGCAGGATGGCAGCTGCCCTGCCCTGATATCCGGATATGACATATCGGATCCGGGTGTCAGTAGCAGATGGGCCCCCCTTTGGCCGGCCCCACCCCGGCCGCCGGCCCCGGGCCCAAGGCTTGCCCTTGTCGAGGGCAATGGCTGCCGGCCGGTTGCCCCCCGGTGTGCAGTGACCCTGCCGGAGTGCTGGGGCATCCCCATCGGCCGGGGCGCGAACCGGAGCCCGCCGCAATCCCACAGCCCGCATTGGCTTGCTTCTGTGGTCCGGCATCGGGGAGCATCATTTTTTTGGCATCGAGTGGCCTCCAGGCATTCTGCCCGGTTCTTAACCAAATCCCCCTCCCCTCCATATCCCCCCCCCTCGTGTGAAGCACGGCCGTGCCCTTGTCTCTTGAGAGCCCCTCCTTGCCTCTCTCCATCCTCCCATCCGCACACGCCTCTACATACTCGCATACACACACACACACACACACACACACACACTCGCACACGGCCGCTCGGTGTCCTGCCTCCCGTGAGTGACTTTGGCGCATCGCCCCTTCGAGGCATAGAGCCACACAAGAAAGCCCCCC